GAAAAAAAAAAACTACCTCAAATAAGCGAGTTAGCGCCGGCTCTCCGCTGCACTATGAGACCCGCCTATGATTTTTTGACCCATGTGGGCCAGCCTGGCCTTGTTTCTGCTCTTCTGCTCATCACCGGAGATGCGATTGCGTGGTTTGGTGTGTTGTTGAGGCTCAGTGACCTGTGAAATAGGTTGAGGGGTATCCTGGAACGCTCCTTCTGGTAACTTTTTTCTCGTTTTTTAAGTGGCTAACTGTCGGGTCTCTGTTGTAGAAGTTTAATATACGAATTTTAACCTACAAAAGAAACTACAGTTCAGCCCTTAATTATATCCTACTTGAAAAATAAACGATGAACGATGATGTGGTGTATTTACAATTCAAAGTAAATTAACGATCTTCTACTTTCAAGTAAAGATAACAAATTCCAAGTACCTACGAGCTGTTTACCTACAGTAAATATACTCATTGGTGTAGTTGATGATCATAGTGAAGGATACGCGTAATCTCGATTATAAAAAAATATTTGCTGTTTATGTATACGTAACTGCGTGCACTTTATTAGCAACAATTTTATTAATTATAACTGGGCGGTATTCCTCTTACTTTGTAATATGGCAAGTACCCTTATTTGGGCGCTCCACTGTTTTATATAACTTTCTCATCCCATCGAACAAAATTATTGCAAGCGTTGGTCAATTCCAGTGTTCTAAACAAATGCATGTGGCCTTACTGTGCCCTTTGTCCTAATTTACTAACTAAGGGGCTGTAGATCGAAGCACATCGAGATTGGGTTGTGGGCATAGTAGAGCGAAGGCATAAAGATCATCTCCACCAGTGCATGGGTACTGCCACCATTTAAGTAATTGGTATCCCGACTTGATAATCAATTGCTATCTTAAATTTAAAAATCAAAACGTGTTTTCACCAGACCTAGAGAGATCCAAATTCTGTAAAAATTTATAATTTATTCACAGATGTGTGACTATTATTTTTATCCTTTTTTAACTGTTTCTGAAATCCAGTGTGTCATTATGGTATGGAAACAGGAAAACTCTATGTTGTGTACTGTAAAACAATGGTAAATCTAAATTAGGTTGACATTCTTTGATACAACCTGCCAAATGCGCAATGCACAAACTAAATGAGAAAAATAAATGTTGTGGATATGTGTTACTAATTAGTGTATTAATTGTGTCATTCATTCTACTAAATAACTACATGTGGTGCACCAGGATTCGGCAACTACTCCATTGTATCAACACTGTCAACTTGATTCAACTGTCGCTCTTGACCTCGTCACCCTTTTGTAAGTTATAAAGGAAATGTTACTAATAACACAAGAAGCATAAAATACAGCATCTTTAAAAGCATGCAAACCCTCTAATCTCAAAGACACTTTTCTTTGTCTTTATGCGATTAAGACAAAAATCTAATATTATATCTGTTATTAATAATCTTTCTTATTGTTAGTATTCATAACAGTGCATGTTTGCGGATGCAAAGTGAAATGTACATTTTCTCTTGTGTCCATTTGTTGATTGCAACACTTAGTTACTAACTTAAATTACAAGATGCAGGTATTACAGAGGAATTCTCAATGGGTTACTTGTTGTTTGTTGTTGTGTTGTCAGCCTGGTAGCACAGTCTGCCAGTATAATTAAATAGCTTCTTTCATACAGGGTTGCAATATCCCATTCCTCATTCCAGCGATACGAATATGCTTTTGTTAACACATCAAGTTTATCTCGTCACATATTTGGTTTTAATTTCATTATCTGGACACATTTACTCTTATCATCTGCTTTTGTACGTCATTTCTGTTGCTATTTATCGTTAGATAATTCTTTAATTCCAGTTAAAATAGGACATTATTTCCTTAATTATATTCAACTTTTTGCATGCCTATATTTGGAATTTTTGTTATTCGTTTAAGGTTTATTTTATTTATGTAGTGGGATAATATTGACTTTCTAATCGATCACTACCTCCTCGGTTCCAGTTGATTTTGTTGCTTGATTGCTTTTGCATGTAGCTTTTTAAGATTCCTTCATTTCCAAGTAATTCATTGTTTTACTCAGTTTTAAACGTACCTAAGGTATTAGTTTTATTTTTGTTATATATTTTGAATTTTTCAATTTTATAGCTAACGAACATTTATAAAGTGAATTTTTTAAGGATGCTGATGTTTTACAATCTACCCACTAGAAAATTCAATTTTTCAATCCTCTCAATTTGTACAGGATGGTATCGGTGAGAGATACAGTGTAGGGTAACATTTTTGTGACTTTAAAATACGCATTTGAAGTTTTTGAAAAATCTTTGAAAAGTACAGAGCTATCTCCAAAAAACTGAAAATGACAGATTTTGTTCTTATTTTATCTATCTGAAACCGTCGGAAATGAACGGTTCCTGCTAGCACCGTCTGAGGGCACTTTCTTCTGGAGAATCTGAATCTGTTAGAATTATCCATTGACATGCTAGTTTTTGAAGCTCTTATTTTTTATGGGCGCCATGTTGGATTTTCACAAAATGAGATAGAAAACAAATAAAGAAAAATGAAAAAAAGGTTTTCGCTTTAAGGCGCATTTTCCATGAATTGATCATTACTTCCCAAAAGCTCATGTATCTATAAATTAGTTGACATCGCGCCGTTTGAGCATGCGCACATCTGATTTTTACAATATGCGATATGCTTGCCTTTACTAGAATCATCTCTGTTAATATTTAAAAATACATGTCTCTATAAATAAGAAAGATGACTTTGCGCATGCGCACATTTAATTTTTAGAATATACGATATTATGCTTGTTTTGACATCTCTGGTTAAAATTTCAAAAAATCTATAAGAAATATGAGTTTGCGTATGCGCACATTTGAATTTTACAGTATGCGATATGCTTGTCTTTACTAGAAGCATCTGTGCTCATAATTTCAAAAAAATATCTCCAGATTGTTCTTGGTTGTGGTGCCGGATCTATAAGTTACTGAATGCAAAGCCAGAACAGCGCCTTTCCACATGAGTTGGAAAACGTGCTAGACAAATAATAACGTGTCGCGCTCTTACATTTACATAAATTTACAAGAAAAATTTCAATAAATCAACTGTTTTGACATTCATTTCTCAACAAAACATCCACAAATAACTAGATCAACATAGCTTTGATGGCGATGCATTCAAATGAATTCCTTTTTTTGTCCCTCGTCTCATTCCATAAAAATCCAATATGGCGTCCATAAGAAATAAGAAGTATAATAGTGGAAATTATGAAAACCGAATCTGATTCTCCAAAAAAGTGCCCATAGAAGGTGCTAACGGAAACCGTCCATATCCGACCGTTTAAGCTAGGGAAAAAATTTCAAATGCGTTTTTTTAGTTACAAAAGGGGCAACTTTACCACCGTTGGACATCACTGTATCTCCCACCGTTATAGAAATCCCAATGGTGAGCTACGAATTTGAACTACCCTGTACTGTAGTGATTCAAGAAATGTGGCAAACTAGTGAATTCATAAATAAGTTTATAAGCGCAAACTTTTGAACCTTATCAAGATGTTAAAATCATGTTAAGAGAGGTAAAAATCATTGTTATGATCAATAGTACCTATTTTGTTATGTAAGTCATAGATTAATTGCAAAAATTTGTAAACAGCCATGGTTGCGATATGCTCTGTATGCGGTGATGTTTTAATACTTCCATTTTTGTACAGAGCTTAACATACTTTTACCTGATCTATAAAAGGTGCATTTCCCCACTCTGTTTTCTTCTTAACCTTTTTCTAGTTTCTTTTACTACCACTCACTCTGTCTTTTACTTCTTTGATAACTTTATGCTGTTAATACTCAAGCAACCGTCGTGCTATAACAAACTCTCTTTTCCACTAACCACTCGGTAGTGACAGTAAGTAAAATAAGTTTGCTAAAATCTAACTAAAATCGTACAACCTCTCGCATTGTTTTCCTATACCTATGTGATCCTGTATGGCAAACTGCATGGCTCATATTTTGAAATGGAAAAAAATAATTGCGGAGCCGATAGAGGTTAGGGATAGGTTAGGTGACTGGCGATGTGTCACCAGGCTGAACGAGGCGGATCTGCCCAGATGGCTGATTCAGCCCGGGAGGAGGAACAAGTTACACTACTAGGTGAAGAGGGCCTCCGAGCCGGAGGACAGGCCCTCAAACTAGGGTAATAGTCTTTCATTGATTTTATCGTTACTTTTAGTGCTTAATATACCCTGTCAAATCAATTTATTTAAATAACTTTGTTTAAAAAAGGTAGGGTAGATTAAGCATTTAATTTATTGTTAAAATATGTTCGAGAACTGTGCTGAGCCAACAACAGACCTCTTCTTACAGCACTTTTACTTTATGGTAAACACAAAACATCCACAGGACTACACTAAGGCAAGCACATGTTAACTTAGCCCAATGCCGTTTGTAGCGCGGCTGTCACCTTACATTGTACATTACATTGTCATAGATTAAATGTTAATTTTTGTTTAAAAATGAATGATCAACTGTGACAACCAGAAGGTACATTAGAAACACAACTTTTACCTATGCTATTTTTGTGTGGAGGTACTAATGTAAAAAAATATACATTTGTATTGGGTATGGTTTCAAATACAAATGCATATTATTGTGTGCATGCGCATAAACGCTTCATTCACTTTGCACTATAGATATACACAGTACATACTGCTTAACTCGTAGGGTTGTAGTGGCTGCTCTAAGGTAAAGTATCGTATTATAGTTGCTATTGTGCTAGTATGATTTGGTTTAGAATAAGCTTAGTTGTGTCTATATTACTGATGTGTCCAAGTCCACATACAGTGCAATGACCTTGCATATGGAAACCTACTTACATTTGAAACGACCTGCATTTATAATAGATGTTGTTAAATATTGGACTTGCACTATAGGTAAGGTTTAACTAAAAAATGCAGTAGTTTCAAATGCGTTTGTGGCAAATGGTGCATTGGGTTTGCTAATGTGTTGTGTTGTTAAGCAGCACGAGGGGGGTGTAAACCCTACTGAATCTATGACCCGGGCCCTCATTAGTGACGACTCTATAGCTCGCCAAGGCAACCTCGGCTCCGTACAGCTGGGGTACGTATCACTTTCATGCCACCGTCACTACATTTTCATATTAACTTACATAACATTATTTTAGCACACAATACTCCGAATCCATTCTTTTCATTCGTTTCTGTCAATTAGATAACATTCATTCAAAGGTCATTACAACAATTGGTTTCTTGAAAAAAATAGATTCATTGTGTGTTTTTTATACAGCATTACTAATAGATTTCTTTTTTTAACTGATCAGTTCATTACTTTACCGTCTAATTCATAAACTCATTTTATATTTCGTTTAAAACTGTTTCTAAAATATTTAAACAACAGTACTTTTACTTGAACAGTTTGCCGGAAAAAACGTACGAAACGGAAGAATTCTTTCCATGGTCAGTAATACCTTATACTTTTATATATTTACTACATTATGTGTACTTGCATACAATGTGTAAAGTAAAGCTAACATTTGATTTAGTTTTCGTTCAGCTTTAAATCGTTATCAAATTTTGGTTTTACTTAATTACGACATATATGTGTTGTGTAATGTACTGTGCTTATTTTGTTTATTTCTTTATGTTTATTCGCTTTATTTGCCAAAAGCAGTGTTGCTTAATGTAGTTCTGCATTCGCAATGGTGAAAAAGTAATGACTCTTAGTGTGAATGGCTTAGCATTTCGCACTAGACTTTAAGTTACTTGATTTTCGCTTTTTATCAGTATAAAAATTTGCTTTATACTACATTCAAAAAGTGGTAAAAGTGCTGGTAAGAATTACGAAGTAATTGGCAAATAGATACTTTATACACAACAGATCAGGCATTATTGCTGTAAGGCAAAATCTGATCGACGTACTAACAAAATTAAAATAGACTTTAGTATAATACATATTGACAAATATTTGCAGCTGTATCTTATATTCTTTTATGATTATTTAATTATTTGAATCTTAATTAAACGCCCCATTACGTTAGATAAATACGCTCGTAATTAGCTGGAGTTTATCTGTCATTAAACTGAGTAGGTCAATAAATGTAAAAATTAGTATGGTATCGCTTATTTATCTAACTTATATACATGCAACAGCTGGAAAATGTATTCTTGAATATCGTAAGTAATAGGTTGATATTGATCCTTAACATTGAAATTGTGCACTGTTTCTCATTTTGAACGTTACCGATCAGTCCTTGCATACAACTGATTTGTACAATCAGTTTTTTGTTTTGTAAGTTACAGACAAAAGAAGACAAAGATGAAATTATTAAACAAAGAACTTTTGTTAGGGATGTATAGATTTTTAAATTTTTTTTCTCCCAACAGTGCTATTAGTTTGTGATTTAAGCGATTGAAGAAACCACATTGTAGGACTATGTGGATAAGGCTACCTGGGCTGACATTTTATTTAACAACTAAGCACCAAGCTTGTTATGCCACCTAACCTACGTTGCTCTCACTGTTGTAGTAACCATACACAAACGTCAATCAAATGAGCAGCTTGGGACCCAATGGGAAACACACTGTCATTCTATATACCATACTATCTTTATTTTTTATAGTTTGAAATAATAAATTGATACATTTTTACTTTTAGGTGTAAGTCATAAATCAGAAACTGCACAACATGATTCATTGAATTTTCTTTTTTCAAATTTATCAATTAATCTTAATTAATATCTATTTTGTATTTATATTGCATTTGAGTCATACTAATTCAAAGCCATATATGCTCTACATTTTCCAGTGTTGCAATTCACTATAGTTTTAACTTTGAAATATTGAAATATAAACTTTGTAAATTGATTTTAAGATTCCTCTCTTCGAATTTACAAAGTGCATACATATATGTGATGCAATGAAACTTCTGATGCACACGAATCAATTCAATATTGAAAACATCGGAGAACGAGCTCCACTCATAAATTGTGATTAACTATCACTGTGAATTTAACCTCTTCTTGTGGTGTGTGTTGCTAACCTATTTTACTACAGCAATAGTAATTTAAATGCATCGGGACTTTTATTGTATGTACAATTTCCATGTTTGCTATACACTGAACATTGTGTTTCAATCAAACAGTGCTCGCATGTTTCCAATTCAATAAACTTCTAGCTGTTCTAATAAAAATTAAAGTTGAAAAATAAATTGCATTTTAAAAGCATGCCTTTTCGCATGTACGGAATTGATCACGGTGTTTAAACAGTATTTGAAAAAAGCATTATACGAACAAAGAAATTGCTTGGTTTTGCTTGGTCCAATGCACAATGATTGAAACAGATTGTGAAAATCGAAGGTTTCAAATAATTAAAATGAAAAATTGTAAAGTTGCAAATATTTAAATTGTACCAAAAGCACTTTAAAACATTAATCAACATTTTAAATGTAGCTTTGTTGCTGGTGTGATTCTTCGAGAACGTATACCTGCATTTGAGCGAATGTTATGGAGAGCCTGTCGGGGTAATGTATTTCTTCGTCAAGCCGAAATAGAAACTCCTCTGGAAGATCCGTCAACGGTAAGGATAGCTGTAGTCGGCGCAAAAAGTGTGTAATTCAACTTTGAGGCCGAATAAAAAATGGCCGTGAAATGGATTTCAATGGCCTCATTTAATTCTACATTGTACAGCGCCGGTTTTTTGGCTCTTCGCACTACATTTAATTTTAGGACCTAATTAATTAAATTCTTTTTTTATCATGCAGTCTCAATTTTATTTTCGAAATAAAAAGCCGCATAAGCACCTATTGCTGTATGTCCATCCAATTAAAAGTCATTTTACAATGAAACTATGCTTTTTATTAAATTAATCTCATGGTCTTAATGTTTGATGATACACATAGATATAGTACAATAATTAAAATTAATGTAATAATTAATATTTCTGTCTGCTTCTATCACATTGAGAAAGCGCATACGCACTTTCCTACATCGATGCGTACCCCCGAGGCCTACGATACTTACAGGATGCAGCGCTCGAAAAAGTCACGTGACCTTAGGAGGCAATTTGGAACACATTAAATACATTACGGCTTATGGAAAATCCGTGCGCGGTTCCACTATTTACCATTTTTTTCCGGATCCGTTCAGCATCTTGTTTTTGGACTGCCTGAGTGGAGGCGGACCCCTCTCCCGAGCCTCACCGGTCGGACGCCCCCTCCTGTGATACAATGCTAGCAATAACAAAAAAGTTTCTCACGTGGTGCATTTTACGCGGATAATTAATGCGCGATCTAGAGCTTGTTCAAACTACACTAATGCTAGATAAGGCATTATATATGCACAATTGGAGGCGCATACCATTCTAGTTTAACACACCGAAAGAGTTATAACGATATCATTCCTAGCAAAATAAATATGATGGTGTAAAGATAGAAGAACGTGGATTTACTATCATCGTTCTATCTTCAAAGACTTTAAATCTTTAAATTAGTTATTCTCAGTGTTATTAAAAATTAATGAACGCCAGAATTTAATTGTATGTACCATTGACAAGCTCTCATTGAAATTTCGTGGCTCTATGTTACAAAGATCCGGAGTAAAAAAAATAAATTGTGGAGCCGCGCACGGATTTTACGAAAGCCGTAATGTAATCACTATTCTGGTTCTACTTGATTATTCTAAGGTATTTGACATGTTAAGCCATCAAGTGCTCAATGCAATATTGAAATTCGTTGGACTGAATTATAATGCTTTACAGCTTATACATAATTACCTGAGTGATAGATGCCAAAGAGTAACTCTAAATGGAGTGGACTCCGAGCTTACGACTGTGTCTAGAGGTGTTCCGCAAGGTTCCATATTAGGACCCTTGTTATACACAGTTTATACATTTAATTTGTTGACAGGACTAAATCACTGTAAATACCATCTCTATGCGGACGATACCCAGTTGTATTACTCTTTTACAAGAACTGAACTAGAATCCTCTTTGGCATGTATCAATGAAGATCTAGAAAATGTACACAAGGCATCGAAAGAACATTCGTTAATAATTAACCCTGCAAAATCGTGTTTTATAGTGTTCGGTGATGACAACATTGGCATACACAATAAAATTGCATTAAAAATTGGCAATGACTCAATTCCATCGGTGAAGTGTGTAAAAAATCTTGGTGTGCTTATTGATTGTAAATTGAGATTTACCCAACACATCGACAACCTTATTGCTTCGGCTTACGGTCAATTGAGGAGTCTTTACTCAAGTCGTCATATTCTTGGTACCAAACACAAGGCTGTTCTCTGTGATTCGCTGGTTCTGTCGCGATTTAACTATTGCGATGTTTTGTATGGCCCATGTTTGTTAGCTAAAGACCGTGACAGAATTCAGCGAGTACAGAACTCATGCTTACGTTTCGTGTTTGGTATCAGGAAATATGACAGAATTTCGCACACCTTACCTCGACTTGGTTGGTTGAATATGTTGGAAAGAAGGCGACTGCATGCTTCGTCACTTTTTAGAAAAGTTTTAACTTATAAGATACCACCGTACCTGTACGATAAAATCACCTTCCGGACCGATGTGCATCATTTAAATCTGAGGCACAGGGGTTTAGCTTCCATCCCAATGCACAATTTAGCAATGTTTCAACACTCGTTTTCATTTAACATCTGCAAATTCTGTAATAATTCGGTGTACAGACAGTTATTGCCCCTGTCCGAAGATGCCTTTAAACGGCAAATTAAAAAATTATTAATCAGAGAGCGAAATTTAACATAATTTAACATAATTTTATTATTGTTTTGTTTTTTTGTTTTTGTTTTTCTTTCCTTTGTTGGTAGGTAGTTACTTAGTAGATTTGTGCTTGTTTTCAATCGAAATTGAACTGCTAATTGTTTTATGTCGTAGAATCTATGTGTATAAATATATTCTTTATGTGTCTAAGGGTACAGGGGGAAGAACAGGTAACCTACTGGTTTATCTGACCCTGAACCTATTGGTTATGGTGTAGGAACCATTTTTTTTTCCTAATCAATAAAATCCATTATTATTATTATTATTTAATGTGTCCCAAACTGCCTGCTAACGTCCCGTGTGTTTTTTGAGCGCTCCAGCCTGTAAGTATCGTAGGCCTCGGTACCCCACGATCAGCTGTTACGCTGCGCCTTTCTCTTTCACACGGAACAATACACATGTTTCTCTCTCCCGCGCTACTTAGAATTGCGACAACCGTACTGTTCCATGTGAAAGAGAAGGACGTAGGGTAACAGCTGATTGTGGTGTACGCATCGATGTAAGAGAAGCGCTCTCTCCATAGACGCGGACAGAAATATTACATTAATTTTTATTTAAGGGTAGTCTTGATTTAATTTTTTTCGGCAACCATTTCCAATGTGTTTGTTTTCATATTGAGATTGTGAAGGTTGTCCTTATGCGCGATTTCAAAAGTACACTCAAATTTAAAATTTTACCGTTCGCGTTCAGCATTTGGTATTGAGGTATTTTAAACACACCATCAAATCTGACAAACGATTATTTTTTATTAGCTCCCAAACTCGACTTCAAACTTTTTGCGCCGACAGTAGAACATTTTGGAACTATACGTGTTTAATTTTTAGAGTGACCAAGTCTTCAAATCAGTTTTTATAATATTCTTTCAAGGGGACCAGTTAAAAACTCGTGTGAAAAAAATATGCGAAGGGTTTAGAGCAACATTATATCCATGTCCGGAGGCCCCTGCCGATCGAAGGGAGATGGCAATGGGAGTTATGACTCGAATAGAAGATCTGAATACTGTGGGTTAATAATTTCTTTACTGACACGTTTCTATTCAATAATTTGTAGGTGTTAGGCCAAACTCAAGATCATCGCCATCGTGTTCTTGTCGCCGCAGCTAAGAATATCAAAAATTGGTTCGTTAAAGTTAGAAAAATTAAGGCTATCTACCATACTTTAAATTTGTTCAATTTGGATGTTACGCAAAAGTGTCTCATTGCGGAGTGTTGGGTGCCAGTGTTGGATATTGAAAATATTCAGTTGGCATTGAGGAGAGGAACGGTAATATATTTTTAATCATAACGTTTTTGTGACAAGATCTTTAGGAACGGAGTGGCAGTTCTGTGCCTCCAATTTTAAATCGAATGGAAACCTGTGAAGACCCTCCCACTTACAATCACACCAATAAATTTACTTCTGCCTTTCAAGCATTAATTGATTCATATGGAATTGCTTCCTATCGAGAGATGAATCCGGCACCTTACACTATTATCACGTTCCCGTTCTTATTTGCAATCATGTTTGGTGACGCCGGGCATGGACTACTCATGACCCTTTTTGGCTTGTGGATGATTTTAAAAGAAAAACCATTGGCTGCCAAGAAAATCGATAGCGAGGTACTTTTTCATTATTTATCACAAAGAAGTTTAATCTAACTTTTAGATTTGGAACATATTTTTTGGAGGTCGTTACATTATCTTCTTAATGGGTGCATTTTCCATGTATACAGGAATGATGTATAATGATATATTTTCAAAGTCGTTTAACATATTTGGATCTGCGTGGAAAATTCATTACAATAGTTCCGTTATCTATGATGAGATTGAAATGACGCTAAATCCTTCCACTTCAGACTATAGTGGATCCCCATACACATTTGGGTTGGATCCTGTTTGGCAATTATCGAAAAACAAAATTATTTTTCAGAACGCCTATAAAATGAAGATTTCTATTATATTTGGCGTTTTGCATATGTTGTTCGGTGTTGTATTGGGTTTGTTTAATCATATGTAAGTATTTTTATTTTCACTTCAGGTTCCAATTTTCATGTGAATGTTACGTTGGTGGAGTTAGGTAAATGGGACCCATACTACCAATTTAAAAAAAGCTATTTTATAAAATACCTTTATTTTACAACAAATTATCTTTAATTTTTCGTTATTTTATTTTCAACTGCAAGCTCCAAATTTTGTGGTATGTATGTCATTTTCTGGTGACACAGTATCCTAGTGCCCTAATAAAATGATTGGCGGATATATAACAGAAAAAAGATAAAATGTTTATAGAAATGCGACGAAGCAAAAATGTTGGTAATGTGTTTTAATTTTTTTACACTTTTTGCTACCTAAAGCAACATAAACAAAAAAACTATTTTAATAGAGTTCAGCATTTTTATTTCTACAAATGCAACGGCTCTAAATAGTACTAGAGAGGGAAAATCAACGAACTACTACTAGTAGTCAGTTTTGCGCAACGGTTTAAGACTCGTACTCCAACCTCACAGGTTGTGAGTTTGAATCCCACAACCTGCCAGTTTTTAGTGATACAGAACAACTACTGACTACCATGCTTCGGAGAGCATGTAAAGCTGGCGGTCCCTCCAGTCATACCGCGAGTGTCGTTAGCTCAGACAGACAGCTATTGAGGCGACTTGAAAACGTCTGTACCTAGAGAGTGCCACCCATACGATACATACATACCAGATCAACTATTGAACGCCCGTTCTTTTAAAGCTAACACTTCTGAAAATAAATGAAGGGTTGCCAACCATAGGGTTTTCCTTAGTTTGCACCCACGTCATCTGTGTATTATGACGTCATTACTAAGTGTGGTTACATCATGCAATTAATGACGTGCGCCCAAACTAAGGTCACTATCTTAGATCATGGGGTGTATATGAATTTGGAGTTACCAACACACAAATCTAGTGTTCCGACAAACTAACCTTACCTGACTTTCCCCAGTGGCCCATTTATCTAACTTTAGCTTCATTGAAATTCATGCTCCTGTTACAATTACCAACTTTTTTCAGGTATTTCAAAGATAAGATAAAAATAATTTGCGAATTCATCCCTCAGCTTATATTCTTGTGTTTCTTGTTCTTGTACATGGTTCTCCTAATGTTCATTAAATGGCTGATGTACTACCCAACAGATGATAGTAAGTTTAGCAATGATGCCGAACACTAATTTACTTCAAATTATTTTGTAGAAGACAAGATAACTTACAGCCCTCATTGCGCACCGTCGATATTAATTAGTTTCATCAATATGGTTTTATTCAAAGAGCCTAACAAAGTTGAAGATTGCGCTGATTATATGTATAATGGTGAAATGGGCATTGAAAGATTTCTCGTGGTAATAGCAGTGATTTGTGTTCCATGGATGTTGCTAGCGAAACCAATTTATATAATGCGAAATCAAAAGAAATCCAACTATATGGTTCGTCACACAATCTGAAGTTATCTGTGGTAAAAGTAAATTCTTCTCGCAGGTTTCCCATGAGCAAATGAATGCTGCAACCGAAAACGGAGATGCAGAGCAACCTGCACATAACAACACGGTTCATCGTGTTGAAGGAGGACATGGTAGTCATGCCGAAGAGGATTTAGGTGAACTGTTTATTCATCAAGGAATTCACACTATTGAATACGTTCTGGGATCTGTTTCTCATACTGCATCATATTTACGTTTATGGGCATTATCTCTTGCTCACGCACGTAAGTATGCAAGCTTTACAATAAGGTGCTATACACGAGTTCGTTACAGAATTGTCGGAAGTTTTATGGCAGATGGTACTAAGTAAAGGTTTAAAAGTTCAAGGCTTCGAAGGGGGTATTGCCTTATACATAATATTTAGTATATGGGCCTCTTTAACAGTTGCAATTTTGGTTTTAATGGAAGGACTGTCTGCATTTCTGCATACATTACGTTTGCATTGGTAAAATGTTCATTTTTGTTCTTTGTTTATGTTTACGTGTCGATTGTAGGGTCGAGTTTCAAAGCAAGTTTTATTCAGGAATCGGTCATGGATTTCAACCTTTCTCTTTTGAGACTATTCTTGATTCCGCTGCAACACAAACTGCAGATGAATAATTCCATAAATAAATAAATGTTCTAAATAATTGTAATTTTTCTAGATTGTACTTAATTCTGCCGTTCATCCTTCACCGTAAAATAAAGTATCCCGACCAAAGTGTGGTGCTACATAATTTCACGTTTACCTGCTGTAGATATTTATTGACAGTTATTTAAATTGTTGTATTGACAAAAATTGCATGATCGATGTAGATATGATGTTATCTAAGCTTTGTTTTTGACATAAATTAGAAGTTGATTATTTATAATTTTCGTGATGTTCGTAGTCCTGTGAAATATACATGTATCGTAAATGTTGTATGGATTAAATTAAAGGATTGCAATTTACCAACACCATTTTTAAAATTCACATAGAAATAGTGTGATCTGTGCAGATGGTAAACGCTAGCACAGACAACATATACTACAGACGGTCAATCTTAAGGGGAAAAAGCACGCTAAGTTTTGTTTCAAATGTCCCCTTATTTAAAAGCCTGCTATCCCTCTATTTTGCTCCATCTATTAGCGCATACAACAATGTGTTGGTTCTTCTACAGATTTCTTTTATTGGAATGGTTTTGCAAATTGTCTAGGGAAAGAAGTATTGATACTTTATTGTTAGAAAGCTGTCCCACAAGAAATCCCCATAATTTACATCTGGGGCGAAGTGCTGATCATCTTTGCAGGTACACATCACATACAAAGCAAATATCACTTTATATTCGCAATTACGTATTACTCGTTGTCTTTGGGTGCATAAGAAACGATATATCTAACTTGCACCACTTTTCGAATTCTCGAAAAAAAGTGTAATCTCCGTGTTTGTTTATATACCTACGTTACGTACTCTACTTGCCTACTTGTCTCTCCCTTTGTGGAATAAATCTTGCAATCAGCAATTTAACTTCATTTAACTTGGATAAAGAAAACCTAAACGTAAGCAAATTTTCGAATGATTATTTGTATCATATGTAATAAATCCCATTTAAGGTGTGCAATTATAGGTCAATTACAGCGGTAATTGCATTGTAGAAAACGAAAGAGCCCTGCGATAATTGCACATTTCATGGGAATACACTTTAACAATTTTATAAGTAGGTAAGGTGAGTTTGTAATGTTTATTCGGGAAATATTCCCCCGAATTACACTCGTGCATCAAAATAAACCTGATAATTTTTAGCGCATTTTCCAACGAAGTTGGGTGCGCTATTGCAGCCACTTTCTCTGTCCGTCCGTCTGTCCGAGGCCTTAACTACTTCTACAGTTTTCAAGATATTTAGTTCGTTCTTTTTGCATTCGGTAGCGTATCGCTCTGGCACCTGAGTCAAAGAAAATCTTGACGATTGAACTGCGCATGCGCAGGCTGCGCAATGTTGACTTTTTTATTTATTAATATATTTTGTTGAAATTTTAATCACAGATACTTGTAGTAAAGGCAAATATATCGCATACAGTAAAAATCAGATGTGCGCATGCGCAGAATGCGCAATGCAAACTTTCTTATTTATGGAGATATTTCTTTGAAATTTTAACCAAAGATACTTATAGTAAAAGCAAACGTATTGCAAATTGTAAATATGAGATTAATAAGCGCATGCGCAGGACGCGCAATATCAACTGCGCAGTAAGTGTCAACTTCCTTATTTATGAAAATATTTTTTTTAAATTTTAACCATATATGCGTCTAGTAATGAAAAACGTAGCGCACATAGGTATGGCCTTTGGAGAAGTATTGATCAATTTATGGAAAATGCGCTGAAGTTACACTTCATACTTTGTTAAAAGAGCATTTTGATGCGCTTGTGCAATTACCTACGAAAATTGTCACAAAGCAAAGTTTTAATAGCGATCCTCGAGATGGTTTATAGTTTTGTATCTATTACTGTCTGCCGGTTTAGTGTGTTGTCACTTCACTCAACCAAACCATGTGTATTGTATGCAAAAAAATCCCCTGAATCCGTAAATGACAGTCTAGCTGACCGGAAACTCCGGGAACATATTGCTATACACAAGAAAACGAAGAAAATATGGGAAAATATCGTTTTTTCGCATTTGACTTAATTAGGTATCTCGTATTCTCGTTAACTATTCCTCTTACGGAAAAAATGAAGAGAACGATTTGCTTAGAATCGATTTTTCTATCAGATACAGTTGGTATGATTTTTTATTAAACAGCGTGCCAAGGGCCTATTATAAAGTTACTTTCTTGTTCTGTTTCTGGGGTTTCCACTAAACAGGCCACTAAACTAATTCCACAGTCCGTCGATTTGCAAAACTCATCGGGACAACAGACAATTGTTGGAATAGGTTGTTTTACGGTTCCACCATCCATAAAAATATTGAAAACGCTCCGGGAGTCATCCAGTTTGAAGGACAAACCATTGAGAAGGGCGTATCAACAAAAACAAATGGTAATTTTTGGGATTACTTTTTTTGTATTTTTCCAGAAAAAACAATAACATTTAAAAATGAACGGTTCTGTACCAACTGAAAATTCGATTCTAAACAAATTCATTTCTATGAGCTCGAGCAATAGTTGACGAGATAATTGGAAGTCAAATGCGAAAAAAACTGCATTTTTCCATTTTTTCTTGGTTTTTTTTTTGTATAGCAATATGTTCCGGGAGCTTCCGGGCAGGGAACTACATAAAATACACTTGGTTTCGTTGTGTGAAATGCCAACATCCAGTTTAGAATACTTTTGGAGCTAATTTGACTGGACAGCGACGTCGGAAGTACGGGTCAGAGGGGGCGAGTGGCCCCCTCAGTTTTTACACAAGGTGGGGCCGCGTCCCCTCTAAGAAAGAGTAGATAAATCACTAAAAAGCGACTAACACATCTTCTACTGCATGTGCATGCAGAAATTACAAAAAGTGTAGAAGTAGAGGATATATTGAAAGAATTTGCCAGGAAACCACGGAAAGGCGGAAAATTTTTGGATATATTTAATTTTTTATACTTGCTTTTCTTTACGATGCTCAATAGTGCAATAAACAGGGACAAAATTTTTGTAACTTGTATGTTCTAGTTCTTCATTATTTTTTAAATAAAATATTAATGATCTATGGCTATGGTTTTCTCAATCGAGTCAAGTATCTCTGAGTTGCTCAGTTGCATGTAACTAGACATCCTCCGACACTTTTTTAAATTTTTTTCAAAACTTCTTTCAAAAATACATTATTTGATTGATTAAATAAACAGGTTTCAGGGTCACTTAAAAAACCCACTGCTTTGCATTAATTCGTACACAATTTTGCATGGGAAGGACCTTTCAGACTCAATGGTCGCTGATTTTTGCCCCCCCCCCCAACCGTTATTCACTTCCGACGTCGCTGTGACTGGACTATGTTGACCCTACACATTGACATAAAATAAAGTTCGTTAAGTGCTCTCTCCCCTAATCAAAAAATGTTGTGATGGTATTATCACAGATACATATAGGTAGGCAAGGCCGTGCGAGGGGGAGGGGCGAGGAGCGCCAGGCTCTGGACGCCAAGTCGGTAATTCCATGGAGTTAGGAAATCAAACAAAAGCGCCTGCATTTTGATCTCAAATTGCCATGGCACCACTGATTTTCTTAAAAGCGCCAGTTTTTAATTATCCAATTTCTTGGATTTAAAGTTCAGAAAATTAAAAGCTATAGTATGCATGGATTCGTAATTTTTTTCTCTACAAAAAACCTAAATAGACTTTCTCTCTAAAATAATTAGAGAAGTCAATAATCAGAAATGAAAAAATTACTATTGCAATTCCTATGGTGCGTTGTTCAAGTCACCACCAGGTATAATAATATATTTATTATGGAAAAACAAAAATTATGTTTATTATTCTAATAAAATCTTTCCTTGTCCAACCTCATAATTTTATATGTGGAGGCCAAATTTAGTTTCCGCCCTTGTATAATAACCAAACCCGCTCCATCAATTTTTTAAATGTTTAGAAAAGAGAAAAATGAAGAATTAAAATGTATCCTATTTCATGTAATTTATGATGTTATACAAGTGAGCGCTTATCTTATCTACGTAAAAGCCGGCGTTGAAGCCGAGGAAATAAGGTTTGAGTATATGTATTTTATTTTTACAAAAATGACTCCATCTATTACACACGTTTACCACACACAACAGTTTTCTGTGCGTCTACCACATTTTACAACAATTTATTTCGACTGCTTCAAGGTAGACAACACACTAGTCGTACTCTATTACGTGTTGCGTTTATTTCTATAGCATTGCATTGACCGTCTGTAGTATATGTTGTCTGTGACGCTAGCATTGTATACTTATTTTGTTGCTTGATTATACATATACATACAACATATACACAGGAGTTCTATTCTAGAAGAAATAATTTAATTTTGTTTGGCAACAACTACCCTTTCCTCACGTATCATGTTGCTTGTGCGAGGGCCCCAAGAGTTTGATTACTCGTAAAAATATAATCTAATAATATATATTGGTGTGACCCTAAAATTTTGGACCATATACACAACACCTCAAACCTAACTAGCTCTAATAAAATTTCTCTCGGTACACAGCTACACCCAGCACAACAAAAGTAATTAAATTCCGACTTTAAATTTCCGATTCCAAGCAAACAATGGTCATTATCAAACTTCTTAAACTTGGAAAAGGGCCATTTACCAAATTTTAAAATGCACTAATTGTAATTGAGCATGAGACATCTCTGTAAATAGTTTAGGGGATCGAATAAACACGCGACTTGCATGATTTTACATAAATAAAATTTATTCTGCGGCCACATGAAATTAAACAAAATCCTATTTAATAAAATTGGACTGTTAACAGCGTCCGAATAAACAAACTACGCATATGCGGTCGATTACAAATTAAACAAATATATTTTCGAGTTACAAAATCCGGGCAATAATTACTAAAGGAAGTAATACACTTAGTCGACACATGACGCAGAAAAATCTTAAAACAATTCCCCAAACAGGATGTAGGGATGTGCGCAATTAAACAATTATTATCGTACTGTAAAAAAACCAGAAAATTCCGATTACTTCCAAATGTACTCCAGAAAAACCGAAATTTGCCGGTTTTGGTTTTATTTTGATCTGATGATATTTGAACAGATACAAAAAAAATAAACAACACTTTCCTATTGCCTTTTAATAGACCGTTTCAGTTCGGAGAATTCATCATGAACTTTATTTTTTTATATGACCCATAAATACTATGGCATTTTTATTATGAATATGATGTCTGGCACACAAAAAAAACAACAAACAGAATGGCAGACTGGCTATTTTCTTTATAAGTGACTACATGATTCTGTATTTTTTAAGATAAAT